AAAAAAAAAAAAAAGTTGTCAATATTGATTTACTACAATCACTAATGAGACAAACCACCTCTACATGGCACCTGATGGAGCACAATGATTACCATTTGCTTGACCTGGAGTCTTCTAGGCTAAAGTATCCTAGAAGTGAAGTCCAGTGTGAGTCGGGGAGGAGAGTACAGCCTGATTAAAGGTGTCAGAGTCCCGGGAAGGTGAGGAGGGCTTTGGAATGGGAGTGCCTGAACCTGGCCCAGGTCTGCCAAACAACAATGACAACTACAATAAAAAAAAAAAAAATAGCCGGGCACTATGGTGAACACCTGTAGTCCCAGCTACATGGGAGGCTGAGGCAAGAGAATCTCTTAAGCCCAAGAGTGCTCAGTTTTGTCCGAGCTCACTTTTGTCTCCCCCTCCTGAACAGGAGCCCCATGATGTAGTTTAAGGTGTGGGGAGAGGAAGCTCTCAAAGATTAGGTCTCAGTCTTAGTGGTCCCCTGTCCCTGAGCCATGTCCCTTACAAGGGCTTCCCAGTCCTCCCCACTCATCCCTTTACGCAGGACAAGGAAGTTGGGTACTTCCCTTCTCCTAGGTTGGTTTGCCTCTGGGAAATAGTTTTTCTTGAGGGCAAACTTTTATTTAAAAAACAAGAACAGGGCTCTGCGCCTGTGGCTCAAGTGGCTAAGGTGCCAGCCATATACACCTGAGCTGGCAGGTTTGAATCCAGCCTGGGCCCGCCAAAGAACAATGACGGCTGCAACCAAAAAATAGCCAGGCGTTGTGGTGGGCGCCTGTGGTCCCAGCTACTTGGGAGGCAGAGGCAGGAGAAATGCTTGAGCCCAGGAATTGGAGGTTGCTGTGAGCTGTGATGATACAGCACTCTATCCAGGGCGACAGCTTGAGGCTCTGTCTCAAAAAAACAAAAAAACAACAAAAAACAAACAAACAAACAAACAAAAAAAAACAAGAATGGAAGGCTGGGCACCTATTGGGGACCATCCCCAGACTATGCTGTGAGTTCCCTCTCAGTGGCTGGCAGAGATGAGAGGATGAGGGAAAAATTAAAAGCTGAGACACCAAGAGAAAGTTTTATAAAGAGCAGCTGGGTCGGGAGTTTGTTCACCTTTAAACATGAGGACCGTGGAACAGCCCCTTGCTCCAGGAGAGCTCCATTTTTGCTGCATACACCATTCTTTTAATCATCAATTTAATGGGGGAAGGCTGACCCTTAAGTTATGGTTCTTGCTGGGCTTGCATTTTCTAACCAAACTATTTCCTTAACTAACTGTTAATTAGACTGATTTACCTTTTACTATTATTGCTCTAAGTTATTTATGACCTTAATGCAAACAGAGCATGAGACAGGAAACACAGTCCAGGAGCAGGATGTCAAAGCAGACCCCAATTAGGCCATGCACACAAATCACAGGAGTGGCAACTAACACTCAAGAAGCCTTATTCTGGCTCAGCGCCTGTAGCTCAGTAGCTAGGGCCCCAGCCACATACACTGGAGCTGGTGGGTTCAAATCCAGCCCGGGCCTGCCAAACAACAATGACAACTATAATCAAAA